TCTTTGTGAGTGGGTCGCATAAAATTTCTTATCTCTTAAGAATATTCTTATCTTTAAACAACCTCTGAGCCAGTCTTAAATTCCTAACCAAGTTACTTAACTCCAACAAAATGGTCGCCGCTAATAGACAGCATAATGCACTTCAAGGGCGTTAAGACGAGAAAGACATTTTAGAGACAGGTTTGACCCACTTCAAAACTTCGATGCATTTGAACTTATCAGAGATTTAGATTTGACAGTGAGGGAATTCTTTTTATTACTGATATTGTTAAAGACTATATCGCGCCTGCGACGGGAAGAAACCACAGCTTACCTCCACATTTGCAGGTAATGATTGCATTAAGATATTATGCTACTGGGGAAATGCAACTTTGTAGCGGTGATAATTTTAACGTTTATATTTTCACATGTTATGTAAAAGTGTATTTGGTACATTTGAGCCCACTAACTACTGCTAGCTTAAATGTCGTCTGCAGAGCGATGTGCAGAATGAATGGATTTTCGGGACTTATCGGAATTCAACCATCATGTATACACATAACCTACCTGTCATCGTTGTCTGCCTTTTGTGGTCGGACAGCTTTGATTTTCCTTTCATATGGAGATTATGCAATTTTTTTTCAACTTCCTCAGTCGATCGACATATGGTGGAAGACGCACTGATAGCATTAACTATCTTTTTCCAAGTCTCTCGTTTCCTCTGATTGTTATCCCAGCCACAAACTTAGATCTCAGCACAGCTTTGTTTTCCTCCACGAGTTTTGTGAGATGGAGACATTCGTCGGCAGTCCAGTTCGGTTTTCGTTTCTTGCAGGGCGTCTCTCCCGTTTCTTAGACCATTTTGACTGCATACAATTTCAATGCGATTGAAGAAAGCAGACGACCGGCCACGCGTTTTTATTCACGTGCCTTTGTTTCTAAACAAAAACATTAGCAACTAGTATTTAAGAAGGTTGCAATCTGCTTTACTAGAAACAACTAAGCATGATGTTTAGAATTTTTATGCAACGTAAAAATAAGTAACATGCTTAGTAAAGTAGGTTGAAAGTGTATTTAAGTAAACATTTAAGAAAAATACTTAGAATTTTTATGCATACGAACCCTGGACTTTATCTTCATGGGAAGTGTACACATTTCACAGTAATACATACACATATGCTATACAATATCATCAACCTCCACACGTAGGACAACAAATATATACGTATTATACATGTACGATTGTTATCCTAGGACAAAGAGACACAGCTACAGTGTAGCCCTGTATTAACGACAACGTATCTGTTGTACAAATGTAACCAATACACGGGGATATAGTCATACAAAAGGGTAGTAAACTCTGTGTTGTAGTCTTACATTACTCCTTCAGATTTAGTACAATGGGTAAAATTGTCAAAAGAATAATTCAACAAGATTTTGATGTAGTTATTGGCTGTTTGTATGTTCCCCTGAAAATTCTTAATATTCATCTAAAGATTGTTTTGATGAAATAGATAAAGAGATAAATTAAATTTCAGAAAAAATATATTAAATTTGCACTCGTTGATGACTTAAATGTGTAAACAAAAACTCATGATGATTATGTACAACCTAATAATACACTAACTGAAGCTTTAGATATTAATAAAAATGATGATATAAATAGGTATTTTAATGATTTACAAACAGTGATTCATTAACATATACCGTTTGAGCGAGTTAGCCAGTGTAGGGCAAGACCAAATAACCTTGGAAACAGTTGGATTCTTGTAAGAGAAACTATATATGTATAGGTATATATATCGAATGGACGTACAGGAAAAAATAAAACAACCGGGAAAACAACATGTGTTATTGACTATCGTCAGATTTGTTTGAAATTGTAACTGACTTTGAAATTATTGATTTTGAATCTTTTTTTTTTCAGATGTTCATTACAGACTTGCATTTTGTATGACTAGAACAGAAATATGCACGAAATTTAGATAGTAGAAACCACGATTTACACAGAAATGACTATGTAAAGTGGAACAGTGATAAAAAAGCAAACTGTGTAAATTTTATTGAAGAAGATGAAAATGATATGTTCACAGAAATATGTGAAAAATTGACATTATCCATCAGAAACCATGTGAAGTAATCAATAATCATGAAATTAATGATGTTGTAAATTCAATAAGTTATATGTTCAAACACTGTGCAAAAACAGTTTTGGGGAAAAGAAGAGTTTTAATAATTCACATAAAAGGAAAACCACCAATAAACCCAAAGAGACTAGATTTTCATAAAGCAAACGTCTGTATCATATTGATAAAAGTCTCTCTAACAAAAGGAATTCAGGTTTAGAGAATAGAAAAACCTTGAATAAGTCATACGAAATACACCAAGATAAAATGGAAACAGAATTAAGAAATTCTTCAAAATATGACCCGAAAAACATTTTGGCACATTCTAAACGAAGTTGATGGCGCTTGTAAGCGACAGAAATTGGATAAAAATATCAACGACTTGTACAGCTATTTAAGATATTTACGCAAGGGCGATAACTCTGATGAGACAACATTTGAAGATATAGTTGTAGACAGAGATGGTAGACTTGATAATATTTTAAACGGATACATTACCGAGTCAGAAATTATTAAGTCTATCGGGTTGTTTTTTTTCAAAAGAAATAACAAGGCTTCTAGTATGGATGGAATTTTAAATGAGTACTTTAAATCACCTGTTGATTTATTCACACTATTGTATCTTAGATAGTTTAATATCACATTCAACGCTGGTTGTATCCATGATTCTTGGAAGATATGAGTTTTCAAGCCAATTTATAAATGTAAATGCGATCCAGATAATTTATATCATTACAGAGCAATAAGTCTCGTGACATGTTTAGGTAAAGACACCAGATTAAACAATATATGTGATGAAATTAATCTTATAATTTGTTCTAAGGCTGGGTTTAGAAGGAATTATTCCACCAATGATAATATCTTCATTCTACCTGCATTAACTTCTATATATTTTTCGCTTCGAAAGAAATTGTATTTCACATCTATAGATTTTAGAAAGGCATTTGACTAAGTTTGGAGAGTTTGTCTACGGAGAAAAGTACAAAAAAGTAATGTAACGGGAAAGATTTTCAGAGCAATATTTAATTTATATGATAATACTAAATCTTGTGTCAAAAATGAAAATGAAATATGTATCACCATATATTTTCAATTTTCCTTAATGATATAGAAGATTTCTTGAAAGAAAACAATACAAACTGTCTTTAAACGTTTGAAAATTTTGGTAAAGATGTCGGAATACACTTGAAATTATTTGTATTACAATCTGCTTTTGATGCATTTGAAGAATATTGTAAAACTGGAAACTTTATGTTAATACCAATAAAACAAAAATTGTTATTCTTGCTAAAAGAAAATCATGGAAAGCCATTTCATTTTACTATTTTCAATGAACTGATAGAAATTCTTGAAACATTTTCTTATCTTTGAGTTTTAGAAAGTTATAACGGAAATTATTTTAAAGCTTGAACACGATTAATGGAACAGTCTAAAAATCCATGTTTGCATTTTATAAGAAAATCAGAAATAATCCATTACCTGTTGACCTTCAATTAAAAATATTGATTCACTAGTAGTACCTATACATCTGTATGCAGTAGAGGCATGGGGCTTTGAAAACTTGAGCTCTTTAGAGAAAGTCCATGTGCAATTTTGTTTAACGAATTTTAGGTGTTAGAAGAAGCACACCAAATTTTATGATCTATGGAGAGTTTGGCAGATTTCCTTTGTCTATTGAAGTTATGTACAATGTACAATGATGGTTAAATAACGCACGCAAAATATCGATAGACATTTTCGAAACTAAAACCAAAGGAAAAACAGATTATTGTTAAATTTAGAACGTCAAATACAAATCTACCCGTGGAAACTGGTGGATGGATCGGAATACCCGAGGAAAACATAACTTGTAATCTATGTTGTAGCAATAATATTGATGATGAATTTCATCATTTGTTTGAATGTGAACATGAATCGGGCAAAAGAATTAGAGAAATATTTATTCCAAATTATTATTGTGTGAACCCTTAGTAAAATGCATGTATTATTCTCAATTTGTAACGTCAAAGTTTTATCTAATAAAAAGCAAATTTCTTGGGGAAAAAATAACATCTAGATGCAAGTATTTAATTGTTTCGTGATACTTTGTATATTTTAGGCCAGGGAAGGTTTCTGCAAAGTTTCATTGAAATCAGTTCAGGGGTTATTAACGGACTCACTACGTACGACACACGACGGCAGACAAAGGCGATCGTGATTGGTCGCCATAAGACTTTGGTGACCTAAATCCATATCTATTTATGTTAAAGTCCCTTGTTAATGGCCTGTAACTCGACCATAACGTAATTGTTGATGCTAATCGTCGTTAAAATATTAGTTTTCTTATAGCAATGTTTTTTAAATCGTATTTTAAATTTTTCTAGATATTTTTCTTGTGCAAAAGAGAAAAAATATGTCAGAACATGCCCAGGTTTCTTGCGATAAAATCTTCGGAGTGACTCAGTAAAATTTGTCGATAATCAGAGGAAACTCGAGCTCTCAGTAGTAAACACGAAATTTGAACACTGTCTGCTCAGTCAGTAGTGTTAGACGTAGTACATGACTTGTAAAATTTTAATAAATACCTAGTAGGATTCAGGTTTGAACAAGATGTCTGTTGAAGCATTGCTTGATATTGAGCTATCGACTAAATATTTCAGAAAAATTGCGTTAACTGCATAGCACATGCCTAATTTGCATACACCTCAGACAAACATTTACGAGATACTTCGGTACTTTCTGACGAGGTCATTGATGCGAAGGAAGTATGTCATATAAGTGTGAATGTCATTCAAATTAGGGATACTATATTGTTATATCAAAGTGTATGAAAACTTTTAGTAAGTTGTAACAGTCAACAGTTAGTTGTTTATCACGGCGACATCACGTGCATGCAGGTAACATACAGAGACGGCAATGGCGGAGCCGGTACCAAACAATATTGTCATCATGACTAGGGAGATGCATACGGGCGGAGAACCATTGAGGGTGATCGAGTCTGGTTTTCCCTCCCCTCGGGGGGACACTTTACTTGAAAAAATGCGTTACGCACGGGAACATCTCGACAATTATAGGAAGTTGTTGATGAGAGAACCTCGCGGCCATCTTGACATGTTTGGTGCGTTATTGGTTGAGCCGGATAATAAAGACGCAGACATTGCTGCCATGTTTATGCATAATGCAGGCTACAGTACCATGTGTGGTCACGCGATTATCTCCCTTGGACGGTACGCCGTAGATTCGGGACTAATCCAGAAACTCTCCAGTCCGGAAACACGAGTGGCGATCCAATGTCCATGTGGACTAGTGGAGACATTCGTTGAATACAGTGACGGAAAGACTGGAAATGTCCGATTTAACAGTGTTCCGGCTTTCGTCTTCGCAACAGGTAAATGTCATTATATTAATTTTCTGACAAAATGGAGTGTAGAAACATTATAAAGTCTACTGATATACTCACCAATGTGAACAATTCAATATCGTAATGAGATACAGTAAACAAGTGGACATTGGTTTTAACCACGATTTAATTCTTTGTTCAAGATCGCCAAGATCTACCATTCTTTTTCCCCGGATAGGTACTCGTATATCTACGCTTATTACAGGTGTGATAAATAGAATCTTTCTCTATCTTATAGACAGTAGGATGACCTGACTCATTATAGTTAATAGTTCGAATGTGAATGCATTCCAGATACTAAATACCAATGTCCTCTTACCTCGTGAAATGTATTAATTTTTGTTCACGTTGTCATCAATCTGGGCCAGAACCATAGTGCTTTCACATTGTCATTTTCACACAGATATAAGGGTCGAAGTCCCGGAGTATGGTCACGTGGTAGCAGATATTGCATACGGAGGATCATTCTTCGCTTTTGTATCTGATAATCAGTACAACTTCCGGTTATCAGAGACTGCCCCGGAAGTCGTAAGATCGGCTGCAGCAGCCACGTCAGGTAATTGATATGATAAACGTAGGATAAAGCTATACTGGGTCCAAGTTACCGCGAATATTCCTCCTTTTCTCATTCATTTTGTTCAAATATCAGATAATCAAAATCTTTGAAAATCGACATGAACATTTATTAGTACAAGAAAAATTCCAAAACTAATTTCAATACAAAATTCACGAAATATCGGTAGATATTGAAACCACTAATTCATACGAGTTGGCGACATCCACAGGACCAGTGACCGTGATAACAAAACTTTAAAAAAAAAAGAAAAAAAAAAGAAAGAAAAAGAAAAAAATGCGTCATCAAGTCAGTTTTCTCTAGCTATAATGTAATGTGGTATAAGCTTAAAGTTATCGATAATATATATATTTATATTTTTCATTTATTTAATATTAACTAAGAATATTCGATGCTTTCGCAAGGAGATGGTTTCGGTGAGATTCGAAAACTTCTCTTACTTGGGCTAGAAAAAAAAAATTTTTCAGTTACTCGTCTGTCGGGCAAGTGAAACTTGAAATTCACTTGCCCGAATCCAATATTCATTCACCAAAAGAAAAAAGGCAACAAAACATAATTCAACAAACACAACAAATTTTATTATCAATTTCTATATCAGTTGTTTGAACTCAAACTTGCTTTCATTGTTTTACTCATATTTAATTCACTGTTAACGCGAGCGAGAACGTCGACTTTTTGACAGTAACTACGTACACAAAACAAACCTTGTTTACAACATTTGTGGTGAGGTAGCCCGAGTCTTGACGCGTGGTGTAAACAAGGATACTACATCGATGTATTTGATCGACTATCAGTGGATTTAAATTAGTTTTAAAAGTGTTTAAGTTGATAGACGTCATTTATTATGGAATAACTCGCCGTACAAGTAGCTGAAACAAATCACTCGCCCGCAAATAGCTTTGACTCGTCTAGACGAGCGGACTTTTCTAACACTGCTTACGTATTACTAAAACACGTGACAGACTTGATAACCGCAATGGGCGGAACGGACCAATATTTCTAATTTTAGTATAGTATTAGAAATGCTGATACATACATTCAATTAAAAAAGGAAAAGAAAAAGTATTTTTAAAAAGCAAAAACAACCAATATTTAAGATTTTGAAGATAGGTTATCATAGACTTGCATCTCACTCCATGTTTAAAATTTGCTGGAAAATATGTCATACAATACAGTCCTCAAGCACATAATTTAGCTAGTGATCTCCATTCTACCATAAATAATTGTGATGTTTTAACAGATATTTCTGCATGTATGCCTTTAAATATTGGAAGAACACTAGACCGACACCAAACTTTAAACATTTTGACTGACAGATGTCTAGCATAGGACGAAACCCAACTTGTGCAGTCCTGAATAACAGGCTTGGTTAAAGTTTGAATATTTGAACATCATATACACTGGAAAAAACTCTACCATCCAATTCCATATATTTTGAATGGCCCCCACATATCACAGTTGCTACATTTGACCCAGAGACTGTAACAATGACCATTAAATGGATTGCTGAGTCCACACAATCTCTTTCTTTTTTACATTCTCGTCTCGTCATCTTTCAGAATTTCTTTGTGAGTTTTGTTCAGGCACTCTTGTTCTTGTCGTCTAGTGTATCCATCTTTTCTTCACGTAACTATTTGGTAATGTTCTCTAAAGATCATTTATATTTATAGGTATGTTGGATTATGAAAAGAAATGTCGCGCTGACATTCCTCAGAATGTTTACCTAAACGCTTTGAATTGTTCGATGGCATAAGATATTTTTTATTTAGAATGAAACCTTTTGAATACTTCTACAAATCATAAAACTGAAGCAATGTAATGGAATTTGTAATAAGATCACCCTATGATGGAGGTCTAACAACTACAGCAGTTACCATATGATTTATGGAGTTGATCAGCTGGAGTAGGAGAGTGAAGATTTTCCCCCAATTTTCTCAATTCAAACAGGTCATATTCTTTTCCTATTTAGGTAGGTCCTTTGTGATGCAAATTTCAGGTATCAAAAACGTTGCATCAAACATATTTTGTGTTGCATATAAGTAAAAATTTTGGTTGATTACTCACGTATGTATTTGAAATGAAATGATGACAAAAACATCAAGAATTCTTGTGGATAGTACCAAATTGTACCAGATTTTTAGGAATGTTACAATTGGAACAGAAATGTTATAACAAAATTAAACTTCATTTGATTATTTATGTTACGATGGTAACGTAAGATCTCTGGTCGATTTCCCAGTGAGCAACTAGAAAAATAATGACCTGACAGAAACACATTCAGTGTTCTGATGTGGAATAATATTTGGTTGATAGTAAAATAAAACGCAATTTAGCTACAACTATGATGATGTAGATGATAATCGTGACCTATTTAGAAGACTCAATCCTTACTACAAGGTCTGTATGATGTTTCTTCCAGAGGCATTGAAGAAGGAACTGAAGCTGTTTCATCCAAACAGTGATGACCTCGCCTTCCTGTTCGGTACTATCATAACGGACGGACAGGACGATCGGACGGACATTCCGTCCTCACACATATGTGTGTTCGCTGAGAAACAGGTACGCATGTCATCTCCGTTTAGACAGTCAGCTCGCCATTAAGGACAGAGGGTGATTAAGTGTTCAGCTTACTGTCGTCTTGAGAAGGGTTTAAAGTATTTCCTATTAAATATATCATACAGATTCATTACACAACCCTATTCAGCTCTGCAATCCGCAACAAAGTAGTGGTGTGGTGGGCTACAGTTAAGTCTGGGCTATACATGTTTCACAAGACGCCGTCACACCTTGGGGGTCGTGAAGTAGCCAATTATAATCACGGGGATATAAATTATGGTAATTTTTTACATGTTTTAAGAAATACAGAACATTAAAACACAAATATGAATTCCGCGTAATTCTTTTAAATCTCTAAACATGACATGCATTTACAGTTTGACAGATCCCCATGTGGTTCAGGGACGACTGCCAGGATGGCACTTCTACACCACAAAGGTCACGTCAAACTAGGCCAGTCTAGGACCTTCAGGAGCCATACCAAATCCGAGTTCCAGGCTAAGGTAGTACAGGAAGTGACGTGTGGTGAACATAAAGCGGTAGTAGTAGAAGTTTCCGGAAAAGGATACTACTGTGGCTCTTCGGAATTTTCCCTGGAGACGGATGACGTCATTGGAAGGGGGTTTCTATTATGATTCAACTCAACTTTATGAACATAAGCATAATTACATGTGTAATTTGTCGGCTAACATGATCAACAAAGAAATCACGAAGTAATGGTTACAAATGTAGACAGAATTTTGTTAAATAATACTCAATTAAACTGGTTGTTGGCCTGTCTACCTTAGTTCGAATGACTATTTAATAGGGAACATCTAAAAAAAGGCCATTAAGGCCACCAACTGTTAAAATACACAGCGATCACATTAGTGCATAGTACACTGGTTAGACGTGATGGGGATTCATAATGAAGGTATGATACAATGGTTGAACAAACATAGACGTAGATGTGTGAAAACATTAATTGTAGTCGTTTCTGATTTTTTAAATGTACATCGTATTTTGCATTTATTCTTGATTCTCATATCAAATTTGAAGATATTCTGTATAGTCCAACTTGCTTAAAAGAACATTAAATCATATTAGCATGCTAGTACAGAAAATGGACTACGAAAAAGAATTGACTTGTTGACTGCAATTTATAAATGTAAGTTATCAATCGTAATGAGAAATAAAGTGTACAAGTTCAATAAATTCGAGATTTTCTCTGTTATATGTATTTGAAATGAATAGAAGCTTGGCCACTGTAGAGGGAAAAGTCTGTTTAGAAATGCTGTGGTTAATCAATTTCTAATCATTGTCTTTTTTCAATTGTGTAATGGGTTACTTTAAGATATAGTTAACGGTAGATGTTGAAGATCCCTTCCGATCCAAATCCTTGATCGAGAATTTTCATTTGTTGATTTTCAATTTTAATTGTTCCAAATTCTGGATCTTTTCGCAGTTTTATTTGTTTAACCAAATGCTGGAGTGTCTTTATCAAACGCCCCTGACCAAATCAGAGGATTTCTTCGTACATTGACTGTAGTAATGTGTGAAATCATATAGGCCATAGAGTCAGACGATGAGAAATTAGCCCATGAAAGAGACGGCTATAGTTCACACCTGTCCAATAAACCACAGGGGTCCTTAGTTTTCGTCCTTTGAAATAACTGATCATATGCACTCTAACAATAAATTGAAACACACTGATTTAGAATAACCATTGTAGGTGGTTATTTTGTGTTTGTGATTTTGAACATGGATATTCATATTATCACGGATTCAAATTTGACATGAGTCCGACATGTTAAGTGTGGAACCACTATATAGGTTACAGCACAAACATATACAGCGATGGCTGTACGGATCTCCGAGTAAAACGGTACTTACTGTATTGGATAATATCACTCATCAATGACTGGCCCCATTCTACCTAAAAGTCATCGTGCCTACGACTCGATAAACACTAAGGGGACGTAGCCCATGGTATCCCGTAAAAATAGTTGTATATGTAAATAAAAATAAACACACATACAACATGGTATGATCTTATCAGGCGAAATAGAAGTTTCCGAGTTATCTTTCTTTAAACGTATTTATGTCGTTAAAGCGTAATGGGTACCTGTCTTCCTTACCTCCATTTACACAAGAATCCCACAAAACATAACAAAAACCATTGATCCTTATCCGCTTTTATACAGTGACGTAACAAAGGTATTGCAACAAACATGGCCGACGTCATTCACAATTGCAAAACGAAGTTGAAATTTAAAACAATATTTTTCATATTAAAAATGTACAATACTTACCAAACTTTTAATATTTTGTTATATAACCTTTCTGGGTGATAACACTGCGAATCCAATGGGAATTGATACATATGAACTTCTTATGTAGACCTGAGGTAGACGTCGCCAGATATCTTTCACTGCTGTGATAAGTTGATCCCTGTTTGTAATGTCATCTGTAACAAAACAGTGCATAAAAGAGCACGTATTTTAATTATATATATGTGTAGATATTTAACCTTATACATTAGGTAGACGAATGGTGGAAATTTGTGTATCTAGGTTAATCAAGTTATAATTACACTTCGTGTGTCCAGCGATGTTTATTTCCCGAGTATGTTCACCTCCAAAGCCACGTCCGGTTATTTGTATGTTGATTTCCTTGATTAAGAAATTTAATGTCCAGCAATTAAATGACACTCTTCAGGTCTTTATGTCGATAAGTTAATCACATAGGCCTACAAATCGTGTGTCCAGCGCTGTGTAGTCGAGTTTAATGTCCGGCAAAAGTATGTTTATTTTCCCGTTGAGAAATTGAATGTCCGGAAAGAATTTTGGACACTGTCCATGTGGTGCTGACCCTCGGCCAATGGTCAGGGGGATAAATAGAAATGGCTGTCTAAATACAGTCAGTAAGAAAGGGATAAGCAGGAAGGTGAGCAGTTAGCGGCCACGACTCTCAGACACCGGGTAGCTTTTGGTTTGAGGAAGGGGGGGGGGGGGGAGGGGGGAGGGGGGAGCTCGGGACTCTTGTTGTGTAAGTCTAAAGATCTGTGTGTAGCTGTATACTCAATAAAAGGATCATCACCTTACGTCAGAACCTGGGTCTTGTGTTTTTATAATTAACCTGTGTGCAGTGTAACACATCCAATTTTTTTTATTAAGTTTAATTTTTATACATCTCCACACACTTTCAATAATGTTTATATCTGGGGATTGTGCAGGACAGTCCTAATTGGTATACGATTTGCGGTCTTCCAGGTATTGGTCACTCTAGAACGATGAGGGGTCTCATTATCATCCTGATAAATCCAATCACCATTGCCAAATTCCTTTGCAACAACAGGCCCCAAGTTTTCGTCCAGTAAATCTATATACTTTGGTGAATCTATATTTTCATCAACCTCAACTAAAGTACCAACACAATTATATGAAATACATCCCCAAAACATTACACTCATCCGATGGGGCGCTTTCAAGATATGTAAACATTCCGGGTTCCATACATGTAAAATATTTTTCTTGCCAATAACAAATTGTGTTTCGTCCGTAAACAGAACTTTTTGCCACTTGTGCTCAGTCCACGCTAGTTTCCCTATACACCATTCTATGAACAGTTCTTGTACAGACAGGTCGAGGAATCCAACTATTTAAAGTAATATCTGAAAACCCGTCTCTCCTTTTTCTAACATGCCGATATAATCTGCGACAACCACGGTCACTCAAAAGTTTTGGTCCACCAATTCGATGGCGATTTTCTACATCTCCGGTTGTTTCAATTTTCTTTAAAATTCGTCCGACAGTGGATCGATGAATTCCGAATAAGTTTGCTATTTCAGAATCTTTATATCCCTTGGCATGTAAATCCAGCAACATTTCTTTTTTGTCCGGTGTCAATTCATTGGCACTTCGAGCCATCTTCTGCTTATTCCTCGTCCAACGTAAGCACAACATGACGTCACAAAATGCCGGTGTCGAGTAAAAATATACCCCCTTAAATTAGTTCTTGCCGAGTTTCATGACGATAGTAAAATCATTTCTGTCCAAAAATCGAAAATGAAATATACCAAAATATTTTTTGCAGAAAATCGGCGATGCTTGTTGCAATACTTTTGTCACGTTATTGTACCTTCCTCCTTATAGATGTGAAATCAACTGGCTGGAGAGTCTTAAAGCCACTCGACAGATGAGTCCAAGAATATCATTATAATTTTGAAGCGAAGGAAAACAATTTTATTAGAATAATGACCATCACTATTACACTACATTACGAAACAATGTAAATCCTTAATATTACACTACCTTATAAAGCAGTGCAAATCCTCACTATTACACTACCTTATAAAGCAGTGTAAATATCACTATTACACGTTATAAATAAAGTAGTGCAATTCTGTTGTGATTCCGCTATTTACAAACCGACCCCCCCCCCCTTTTATGTTGTACATGCAAACTATTTGAAAAAGTCATCAGCACTCGCATACAAGATTGCATAGAAACTACTTTAATACCGTTTCCAAACGCGCAGCAGAATGCCATTCCGGAAATCCACGGCCACATTCTCTCTCCAAGAGACCATTTATCACAATCTCGTGTTAAACAGTAAAGTATACAAAACCTTCCTGGACATTAAAAAAGCATTTGATACTGTCTGGCACACATGGCTCATGAGTAAGCTCAGTGATTTCAGTGTCAAATGTAACATGTTTAACACTATCCGTGACTCATATGCAGAAATGACGAGTACCGTGACGTGCCACCGAATGACGTCACCATGCTTTCCTGTTCGATTGGGGGTAAGGCAAAACGGTGGGTTACCCACGATTCCCTATCAGATATTTATCGACAATCTTCTTGACTTTTAAGAAAAAAAAAACAATCATGGCGCGAAAGTCGAGACCCTCAATACCGGAAATCCTACTTTAGCAGACGTTATTTCCCATATAAGTACAACTCTACTCTCTCTCCAAAGACTCCTGTTTTATCTGTCATTGTTATATTGAAAAGTGAAGAATTGAAGAATTCAAATGTAAATTAGTCGTAGACGGATATCCAGATCCAGTCCGACTTTGCCTGGGTGCTTGGTGATGATAACATCAGGATCCCTTCTCCTCAAGATCGTCTAAGATCTGTAATGTCGTCACGAATAGCAAACGATGAACGAGCGCGAGGTGGATGTGACAAAGGCAGAAGAACTCTACAGTCTATTTAGTTTAAACATATTTTATTGCCGAAAGCAAATGGATTGGGCACAAGTTATCACAACTTATAAGAGCCCTCTCCACAGTCTATTATTGGAATAGATTCCTTATCCAGTTTTATTAGTGCACTTGTCAAGGCTAATCTCTACAAGACGTTTTACCATCAATGTTATGGCATTAGGTGCAACTCAGCTCAACCGAATTTAGAAAAATTAGATCGTTTCCAACATAACGCTGCCAAACCAGTGCTGGAATTAGTCCGACGCGTTAGACAGTTCAGTCCATGCTTGGTTTGTTTCGTAACTCCTCGGAAATAGTCAAAAGAAAGTAACATTTTCGTGCTCCACAGCTATAAGTTGATGCCTTACTTAAATTCGTATCTACAGAATTACACATATCTCCCCAAGCGTCAATGGAAACTCATTACAAAGTCTGCCACAGCGT